AAAGTCAGCAGGTTACTAGGGTTCCGAGAAGGTCCTAGAGCTGTTTGGACATCTAGAGGGTCTACTCCCGGGAAAAGGAAAAGGTCCTTGTTCGATTTGAGTTCCTCATTGAGATGCAAGGTGTATATACTTCGTTGCAAGGCAAAGCCTAGGACAGAATGGAGCAAGCGGAGGAAGCCCAGGACGTGTTTTTCACATTGTTGCACGATACACGATGCGGCAGCAGCAAAAGCAGCAGCAGCGGTTCAGAAGACAATGGAGGAAAGGAAAGGAGGAAGAACAGATTGGTCGAATCAAGCTTGGCCAAACCAAGCGTGTTCGACAAGAACCAAGAGGAGGATTGGTCGAAGCCTTCAGAGAATGGTCGAACAGGGTCTTTGAAAAGTACTTGTCTTCGCTTGATGACGGCTACCTGAAGGACCTCAAGGAGATTCACGAGAAGCAATCCTTCGATCTGGACTTGGTTGGTGCTGAGGAGAGAAGTCGAGCCATCAAGCTGCACAGTCTTTTGGCCTCCTTGATGAGGGGTGAGCGCTTCAGGTTGTGAAATCGATGGAGGATTCGAAACGCCTTTGATTCATTGAGGAGTTTGAAACGAACGTTGAAACCAACTTCGAAGACAAGCTTTGTTGGGAGCTGCAACCAGTTAGGCAGCTTTCACCATGAACAGCGCTTTGCAGCCTCAATTACTTCGAGTTGAGGTCTTTTAGGAAACAACCAAAGCCGGGTCCCCAATTCAAGAAGAGTTGAAGTCAGCAATTCTTGTGAGGTCTGTTGGAGGCCAGTTGAAGTCGAATTTGAACTTCACAATTGGAGACAGTGTGAAGCATGCAAAGTTGAGAGAACATCTTTGTTTTTCCTGTGGGACCGCACACAGCAGAAGTGGGGCGCGAATTGCTCTTGGTCGGAAGCGGCACTATCAAGGTCTTATAGCCCATGAAAGTGGATAGAGTTGAATCGAGTGCAAGACAAAGGAAAGGGCAAGAAAGGTAAAGGAAAGAAGGGCAAAGGTGGAGAGTGCAAAGGAAAAGGAAAAGGGAAAGACGAAAAGGGCAAAGGAGTTGGGACCACTTTGAAGAGAATGAGGAGGGTGAGAAGGCTGAGTGAAAAGGGAGACTGCCATCATCATCGACAGTGGAGCTAAAGTTGCACTGCTTCCCCTGAGCATGTCAAGGCTTGGAACAGGAGATCTGGACGTGAGCTTCGAGACAAAGCTTCGGGATTCCCAAGCAACTCGAATTCCTACTGGTGGCACCGGTTGTGTGTTGAGATTGCTTTGCATTGCATGATTTTGAGGGTATATAAGGAGATCATCCTCAAACATCTTCATCTCTTGCGTGTGAATCAACCTATTTTGTGTTTTGGTTGCCTTCTTGAGCAAGGATGGAGAATCAAGGGAAAAGAACAGCTTTTGGATGTTTTGGAGAATGGAGACCTTCTTTCGTTCCACAATTTGCATGCAATGATCGTCCATGGCGAAGTTAGAGTGATTTGAGATCTTCAGATGAGGTTCCTCTTCCAGGTCGGATGGCAGTTCCTGAGGCTGGATGGTGGTTCAATGAACAAGGCATGTTGGATGGGCGTTCGTTGAAGGGCCCGACCTTCGTCCCATTTCGGTGGGGGACTGAGTCCCCCAGCTGAGGACCACCTTAGTCAAGAAGATGGCAAGTGGCTCATGGTTGAGTACTGTGAGAGTGTTATGAAGAAAAAGGATTTGGGGGAGCAATTCTTCGAGGATACTGCAGTCGTTCCTTCAATCACCATCTTCAGCCAGGAGCCAGGACATGGTTTTCTTTGCAGAGGGGTACAAAAGGCTGGAGATAAGGGAAGGCCGAAAGAAAAAGGCTGAGAAAGCTTTGGAATGACATTGCTCCTTCACCGGCAGGAGGAGCAATTGAGGCCAGGGAAGGCAGAAGAGAGGGAAGGTGAACAGAAGAAGGATGAGATGGACTGCGAGCTTCAGCTTAGCCCGGCCCCATGATGTGGAGAGTGTGTTTGTGAATGGAGTCGAACTCACACGTGAGCCACCACTTTGTCGACTTTGAGGGCTTGTTCCTCTCTGGGTATCTCAGGGAGTGGACCAAAACTGAAAGTAGCATCCTCTTGCTACTAGTAGTAAGGCCAGGAGCGCCTAGTAGCGTCCTTGCTCCTAGTAGCGATGCCCTTTGCTCCTAGTAGCGTCCTTGCTCCTAGTAGCGATACCCTTTGCCCCTAGTAGCGTCCTTGCTCCTGGTGCACACCCAAATCCTCAAACACAACAGAAAAATAGAGTAGCCGAACGCCAAAAACCCGATTCATCAGAAGCACCCGCTCAGAAGAGACAAGAGAAGCTGAAAAGGGCAAACTGTTGCCAATGCGCCACTCTTTTGCAACTCTAGATTCGGAATTCAATATCGAATCAACAAAATAGTTTCGGGCAATTATTGACCTCCAATACAAAGGATTCACATTATGTAAGAAAACAAACTGGCAACATATAAAACTAAATTCAGTGCTTCTTGGCAAGGATCGTCAAGAAATGTGTTTGAGGTCGCCCAAAATACAGTATTGCCAATTGAGGTTGTGTAAAACCCCCCCCTACCTTTCCCTATACCACTTTTGACGTTATCGTTTTTTTTCTTCCTTATCGTTTTAAGCACTTTGCATAACTGCAACAAATGTAGTAACAGTAATTAACAGTATAATTTAGGTACAGTGTGATGTAGTGTGTGCACTACATGCTTGTGGTGTGTGGAACCTTGCAGATATGAAGACACTAGGCACACTTCATTCCAACTACACCCATGTGGTGGCCTGCCTACGGAAAGGTGTTTTAGGCTCGCTGCGTTATCGTTTTGCTATCGTTTTCATGCCTTGTGCAAGTTGGAAAACCATGTGGCACGACAATGCTGCAGCACAAGGCTACAGCGGACCAAGCCCTTCCACCTCTGTCCAAGCATATACCACGTCTCGCATTTTTTGCTTCCTTATCGTTTTACAGGGGATTGAGCATGCTTTCAGAAAAACGGACATGCGAATACTAATTTCTTACATGGGGGGTTTTTATACTCTCTCAATTGATATTTCAACATATCACCCTCCTCTCAGCATTCTGCTCGGGAAAGGGCACTGCCACTATATACATGAACAGGCCTGGCTTGGAGATGAAGGGCATTCCCCTGAAAGAGGCATCCCCCAACTTCTCTTCAAGACCATCCTCTTATTGCATGTGACAAAATACCAAGGTGTAAGATAGTTAAAGCCACCAGTCACCAGTCTCAATCAAATGCCAAGACAGCTGAACGTGCGTCTACTTTGGTCTTGATGAATATGCCAAAGCGATCGGAATGTCAAGCCTCTTTTGATGTCAAGCCTCACTGCCCTGGCGAGGGGTGGCACGAACCGCACAGCCAGCAGTGCATTGGCAGAGCTGACGTGCCCGCTACGGTCTCGAGTGAAAACCTTTCTCGAGTCTCGCCCCAGCCGGGTGGCCTTCAACTTCGGATGTTCAAAGGCGCTTCATGGCCCTTCATGGCCCTTCGCATCAATCCAAACATGTAGGGCCATTCATGATCAGGTCATCCCGGTATGCAGCGAACTCCCCATCTGGCGGCAAGCCAGAATGCACGACTGCAAAGTGTTTGACCATGAGATGCAGGAGCATGCCAGAAGCATGCAGGAGCTCCCAATGCATCTCATGATACAGCTGCTAATTTTGGCCTCGTGTTGGGCCACCAAGCCGGGTGATCCATGCTTGGAAGGCATAACACTGGTGCGCGGCATACGCGGCTGCACCACAGTAGAATCTATTTATCTCGGCACCAGCACCAGGATCCCATATACAGTGTCAGATGGAACGGTTGAAAGCTCGGTTAAACAAATTGCCTTGTACCTGCATGTGAGCTTTGCTAAAAGCTTGATAGTTTCCTATGTCGTGAGATGTAATGAGAGGGTGCTTGCGCAGCGCTTTCGTTTTTCTGATTCTTATGAGCTCTGCAGTTTATCTTGGGCGGCGTGTGGGGGGAACTAGACGCTTACGCCACCCTTGCGCAGCTGGATTTTATACCAGAACAGGAACCTGCCAGGAAAATGTCTTACGCAACTTGTTTTATACCATGATCGAGCTTCAAGATACTTGCAAAAGCAAACGACGAACTGGTAGAAAAGGACAAGCTCGTCTCAGCATCAAACGTAACATTTTCCACTAGGAACGATGGACAATAATCGAAAAAAAGTCGGAAAAGCTGCTTTACTCATTTACATTGCCAAGTGCTGGCAGCAAGTCAGCACCAAAGTCCCTTAAGAACAAGTCTATGGAATGTTCCAAGAGAAACTCAAAAAGGCCCGTTAACGCACACCAAGCACCAGTAACTAAAGCTGTCCCAGTAGTGCAAAAACACTTTGTTCTTGATCAAGTCAGAACCTTACGCAGCACAAAAGGCTTACGCAACCTTACGGACTTTCCGGGTTTTCCTTACGCACCTCTTCTGAACACAAACCCGAGTGTTTAAGGGAAATGGCTCATGTGCTCCTGAAGCATATGGGGTCCTGAACTTGCCGATTCACTTCCAAAGAGGTTTCTTCCTTCCTTTCCAATCACCAGATTTATTGACAGAACTCAATCAACTCCCAATCCATGCAAACCAAGCAACACTTCCCAACTTCACACACGTAAATTTAAATATGTTACTTAGGCGTGATCACGTTCGCCAAGCAACCTGGCAAACTTGTCGTAGCTGGCAGAAGGCCAAAGCCAAGCCAGAATTCACGACATTAAAGAGTGTTTAGTTGACCATGAGATGCAGAAGCATGCAGGAGCATGCGGGAGCTGTCAATGCCTCTCATGATACAGCTCACCAGCCAAGCCAGGTGATCCAAGCTTGAAAGGCGAAACACTGGTGCGCGGCATACGCTGCTGCACCGAATCTATTTATCTTCATGGCCAGATCCCCGACCGCCTCTATTCACGAACACATGATATTCAAAAGTACAACTCTTTGGGCTTCCCCAAAATATTCCTCTTTCGGTCAGGGATCCTTTGAGGCATCGGTCGTCTGGAGACCCAGTCATTGCCATTGGCGCCGCTGTTGCCGACGCTTCTCCCGCTGACGCTGGTGCTTTTGCCATTTCTGCCCTGCCATCGACTCCTGGGACCGAAGACGAGCGAAGACGAGGAAGCGGAGAAAGGGACGGAAACAGCCAAACGCAGTCAATTCCACTCTGCAAATCAAAGATTGATTACATTCCTGCAAGACCAAAAAGCCAATCCTCTCAGGAATATGGAATACTGATGAATATTGATGGTGCCATCCCCGTGAACGATCTGCTTTTGGTTACTTGTCTACCCAGAAAAAAAACACATACATTGAACAATCATTGAACTTATTTTAAATAATACGTGTGTTCTTGCAGGACAGTGGCCCCAAAATGAAATCAAAAGTCACAAAAAGGGTGAAGGATGGTGAAGGCATGTGACCATATGAAGGCATCTTCACCTCTCATCTGGTCACCTGTTTGGAGACAAATGTCCTTCTATCAAGAACATGCGTCGCTCCTGCATCGCCCTGCTGATGTCAAACTAGCTCTCAAGCCTCATCTCCAAAGCTTTCCATAGCCTACTCTGCAAGTCAAAGACCTCATTTTACTGGCGTTGATGATACCAACACTACTCAATGAGGAACCAGGTCCAGGTTTCACCTAGCAAGCTAGTACTCCTTTCTTCCCGGAAGACCACGAACGTCAAGGGTGGAAAGCACACCTGCAGCCTGGAAAGCACTGTGTATGTTACAATATATAGTAGCAGCGCGAAGCTGTCGTGGCAGCTTCCTCTCCTCGGCTGTGCAATCATGGCAAAATGGACAAGCATCACCATGACGGCATCCATCCTGGCCGGGCTGGAGCACCCCTGGCCTCGCTTGGGCCCACACGAACTCGCTGACCAAGGGCCTTTTCTTTGAGCACGAAACAAAAACGAGCTTCTCCCGACTGCGTAGATGGTATGGGTTTCGGGGTAATATCTATCTTATCTGACGGATAGCCAAAACGTCCAGTGTTTACGGACCTTGATACAGTTGGAGGTCCCGCATCCCTCGTCGGTCCGGCATCCAGCGATCCAGACCTGCTGTGACCAGACCGACACGGTGCCTCTCGAAAGCGAAAGTAGCGGCACGGCTTGCAGTGTCCTGGCCCGGCCCCGTGTGCTGACGCCGCGGAGGCACAACAGAAGGAGAGCCAACTGATGCATGGCCTCTGCTTCGAACAACCAACTACCCCCAACCACTGTATCTATCAACCGACTTTTCGCTTCTGCCAGAACTGTTTGGCAGGTCTCCCAAGATTGAACCATAGGCTATCTGCGGCGTCCTCTATCTTGAGTAATTTCAAATGTCCTTACTTTCGATCAGATTTGACACATCGATCAGATTTTCCTCCCTTTGATCAACCAGAATGAACTGAGATGTCACAAATGTCACATGCTTAATGCACTGGCCCCCGCAAAAACGCACGAGAATCGCTGATGCTCGATGTGCACCTTGCTCATGTAGAATCCTGATGCTTTGCCTCAGAAGTTGTCTCTTTTCGCGAAAGGACAGGGCATTCGCAAGCTGGTATGGGACATTAGAATAGGGAAAGGTGATTCATCACCTTAAACCGTTTGAGGACAGTGGAGAAACTAAGACCTTTGACGGTTGAAGCAGAAAGGCAGTCATAGACATGGATGGCGAACAGCACGTGATCAGTGATCCTCTGATGTGCTTCGTTGAGGCAAGCTCTTTCTTCCCTGGATTTCTAGCGGTGAACGGTCTAGCCCATCCCAATTGCCAAAGACCGCCGATTCTCTTGAAAGCACGTCCGCTCACCATGTCACAGCCATACGATTGAGGGAACTTGGGACTAGCTGCAAATTTAATGTTGACCTCCTATTTGTAAATGGCCCGTGAATAGTACTAAATCTTTTCAAACACCAATATTAAATGGCCCTCAAATAGTACTAAATGTTTTCTGGACCTTGATTTTCTTTTCCTTTCCTTCAATCTCCTTTCCTTTCCTTTCATTTCCAATTCAAGTCAAGATTTTCTAGGATTTTTCTGGAAATCACATTATTTGGGGCCCACACTTGATCAAGGGGGGGTTTATTAATAAGAGGCCCACATTAGAGGGATCCACCCGGCTTGATCAACCCCAACACATGCTGCTCAAGATGAACACATTCTATACTTTAAGAAGGGGCCTTCAAGCCACAACATACTTTCCATCCAAGCAAATACTCTGTTTCATGGGATCTGACTTCCGACACCGAGGTACCATTCCAATCCTTGAGACTTGGGGGATTGTTCGTTTTGGGTCGTCTTAGTCTTCCGGTTTGCGAAAGATGGGTCACTACCAAGTGAGTGGGAAAGAACCTATGGGTGGGTCACTACCAAGTGAGTGGGAAAGAACCTATGGGTCACTACCAAGTGAGTGGGTGTTAGGATCTAAGTGGGTGTTCTTCCGGTGTCGAGTCTTTGGGTCACTCCTCTGCACTCGTCTGTGCTCGCCCTGCGCGTCGCCCTGCGCGTCGCGCTTCTGCGTTCGCCCACGGCGGCTGTTTGGGTGACACGGAACCGTGAGTACCAGGGCCCCTAAGGGGTGTCTAATTATAGCTCCTTAATGCTCCTTGGAGGTTAAGGGGTATCATGGGGTATCCATTAACCCCCGCTTAGGGGGCCCTGGTACAGAGTCGTTCTTGAGTACGTAGTTCTTCTTTGGAGTCGCCTCATTGATCAGGTCCACGCAAGCGTTCTCATATGCGTTCCGGATCTTCTTGAGCCCATGGGACGGGTACCCGGGTCCACGCAAGCAAGAGCGGATGCTTCAGCGGATGTTCAGCTCCGTAGCATGGCTTCGGTTGCTTGATGTTGCTTGCAACCGCCCTGAAGGCTTTCGGCTTGAGAAGCTACCGGCCAACGATCTTCATATCGCTTCGAATTGGAAGCCATCGCCGCACAAGCCATCAGGTCTCTCCCTCTCTCTCTCTCTGATGTGCTCAAGTCTTTGTTGAGCACAGGTCGACCAATTGCACTGGTGCTTGTTCCAGTCACCTCGTGAATCTGCAAGATTTCCTGCTGAAGAATTGAAATCCTCTCCAGGTTTCATCGCACCCTTGATCACAAACGTGTGGTGCTCCACCTGATACTGAGGGAGATCCACCCGCTGAAATCAAACCCGACAAGCCTGACCCACCAACGACATGGTGACCAGGAAGCGAGGTCGTGCAGGGCAAGTCGCTACTAGGGTCAGGCTACTAGGGCTATCCCTCATTTTCCGCCTGACCCTAGTAGCGATGGCCTCCACCCTAGTAGAGATGGCCTCCAACCTAAGAGCGATGGCCTCCACCCTGATTCCTCATCCCTGCACATGAGGTTCTTCTGAAAAAAGAAGTTCGACAAATGGGTCGTGTGAGCGGCGTGATGAATAGCTACTGACTGATCTTGAAAGATTCCGACTGGTCGTTCAGCGACCTCCCGGATGGCAGAAGAATCAGCCATGTGCTTTTCGCTCTAATCAGCATGTCTTTTCAAAGTCTTGATGCATCTTGATTCCAAGAGCATGGAACCCAGAACATGAAATAGGATGATGAGAAAGACTCCTTCCTAGATCCCTGGATTTATGCCCAGCTCAAGGGAACTCTCCGCCTTGGTTCCACATCGCGCCTCAGTGCTGAGACCTTGCCATCCGAGACCTCGCCTTGGTCGCCTTGGTCGGCAGCGGTGGCCGGGCGCACCATTCACCAACGATCTCAAACTCACAGTCCAACGGTCCACACCGTCCACATCGACTTGCAACCCTTTGAACTTTGCACATTGCTTCAACATGCTTCGATTCAACAAACTTATACCACAAAAACACCCCGCTGGGGCAACGAAAGTGCCCATCTCCATGGTTTAAATTGGTGCTCCTAGCGTCAGAAAAGGAAGCGAATCAAGTACGAACTCCCAGCCCAACGCCCCGTTGCTGTACATGTGTCCTTTATTCATGTCCTGTTTCATGTTGCTTTTATGGCTCCTGACGTCACCCATCAATGGGCTGTTGTTTTGCCAAGAAGAGCCACTTTGCACGACGACCGTCCCACGCATTCAGTCCCGCCTTCAACGGATGTTTTCCAAGGAGGAGTATGGGAGAGTCAAGAGTGGGAGAATTCATGCACAAGCATATCATATTCCCAAGGATTGTTATGGAACTCATGGAACATATGCAGTCATGAGGGTCTATAAACCACCCGAAGTGGGCGGTGTTGGTGTACGTTGCAGGGTAGGAGTGAGCACCGCACAGGCTGTTTCGTGTGGTCTCAAAACGTGCCAAAGCTGGAAAAGCATGCCCTAGCGTAGCAAAAAAGAACGACCAGCACAGCTTGAAGGGCTTTTTTTCAAGTTCCAAGCCTGAAGCATGCCAATAACCAGACCAGACGTGCATGTGCCGTCCATATCGAGGTGACTTCACACAAGACAATTAAAAGTAAGGTTCTACTGTTCGAAGAACCTTACACGATGTATTCGTTTCTATTGCCTCCAGCTGGTGTGCTAAATCTCACAAATAAATCAATTATTTGCAAGCTCGCCGACGTCCGCAAAACAAAAAAAAGAGGAAACAAACCTGAAAAAAATCATGGATTGGGGACAAACCCACTTTAGGGAATCCGAAAAGGTCGGTGAGAAAGCCTTTTCAGTTCCAGGCAAAAAACAATTCAGAACCAAAGTCAGAACACCACCATCACCCAAGTCCGCGAGTCAGTCTGCGAAAAAAAGGACCATTTTTGGAAAAAACACCTCAACCACACGTGTAGTCAACACTGTGTTGTGGCTATGTTTCATGCAATTTGCTTTACTAATCTTGCCAACCGAGTTGGTCAAATCCCACCACAGGCCACAGGCCCTCTAAAGCTACACAATGCACAAACTTCTCTGGTCGACCCTGCGTCCAACACAACTAGCGCCCGGATGGTTTCCAACCCTGCCTCCCAGACTCTGGCTCAGCTGGGAGAGGCGCTGGCCTGCAGAAACAATATGGCACCAAACTCACACCATTCATTGGTTGGGTCTAAAGTGTTTCAAACTCCCATGATTCGTCCATTTCATCTGATTTCATGAGTTTCATGGTTGCAACACCAGGGGGCTTCTTTGTAGCTTGGATTTGGATATAAGATTTGGATGACTTTGAGGTTGAGCATGATGATAAGTTGGTCTGCACATGAGGGGACCACGGCAAACCTTCAGGTTCAGTCTGAACACTCATGTTCAGTCTTGTTGGTCAAAGCGCTGGGGCTCCACCCAACCCCACCACCGTTGGAAGCTAAACCCAAAAAGGCGATCACTAAGCCCTGACCACCCGTCCACCCGTGCAGGCGTGAATTCCGTCCTGAAGACCCGCCAGCAGAGGTACTGGAATCACCGCTGGCTTGGTCCACAGACGAGTCCGACTCCTGCATCATTGGCCCCATCAAAAGCAAGGCAACCCAGACAAGCGCGCAGCCGCGCTTGTGGGGCGCATGCCACCCAGCCGGGTTGAAAACAGGAGGCTTGACTGGAGACTGGAGGCCTTTTCAACCTCAAAATGGACCTTAAGACCTAAATCAGGGAGGCTGTTTCGGAACCATCATGGCCATGTTTCGGTGACGCAGTCATGGACGCATGGGTCAACTGCGGTGTGCGTGTACTGCCAGGCCGGGCCAAATCGCCGACATGTCTGCCATGCTGGCAATTCCCTGTGGAAAAGCCAACACCTGCATGGACCAAGCATCACTACTGAATGCCGCCAATGAAACAAGCCAGCTTGAAGAGCTGTTGTACAATGGGACAACATCTGAATCTGTTCCACTTCCAACCCTTTTGATTCATGCATGTTTGAGGTGCTTTGACCATCCTGTCTTCTGACATGAATTTCGGTTAAAATGACACCAATCTTTTCATTGAGACTCTTTGGGGCCCGTCGCTTAACAACAAAAACATACTTTTCGTATCAACCACCTTCAACACTGAAACAAAACGTCTCCCAAAGTGCAACAACATCTCACATCTGAGGGAGTTTGAGTTGATCTTGTTCACATGTCCCGTTTGAATCAGACGTTGATCCATGTTTTCTTCCCCGCACGCCTCGGCCAAAGACAAGTCCTGGCTGGATGAAACTTAATCCGCCGACGGGACACGACACTTAGAGAACCCGCGCCGAAACCCGAGCCGTTAGGGATCGGATGAGGCGATGAAGTTCACATGAATCAACACTGCAAAAAAAAAAACAAAAATCAACGCTGCACAGCTAGTTCTGGAAAAAAAAAACAAAACACTTGCGGAACTAGCTTCCAATCATACATGCTGTACAGTGGATCTATGGTTTCCTGTACACCCACCCCATTTGATGTGTGAACCCATGCTAGCATCGTAACGATTGAAATATATTTGGAGCCAACTGGTACTTCACAGTCGAGATCGTTGGTTTTCTTCATTGCGCTTGGATTGTTGGCTTCTCTTGGATCAACTGCTAAACACTCCTTGCTATACCCTCCAGAGGACCACTTGAATTCTCAGGGTCTGGATCGTCTGCCATGGCAGGTTGGAGGCCATTACTCATCCAAGGCACGCTGTGACCGATTCCTACCGTGTTTCAGCTCGGTGACACCCGAAGAAGTCAAGCGTTCTATGGGTGATTCTCCTTTCAAGAGTGGATGATAACGGGATGATATATGTCCCCAACAACCCCCTCAAATTCATGGATCAAAATGCTTAAATAGTCATAATGATTCATAATGTGTCATAACTACCTCAGGACTGCCGTCGGTTAAACATGAACGGTGAGTGCCTGAAACTGGATTTCAGGACATTTCATCGCCTCCAACGCCTGGACTACGAGCAGTCAGCATGGCCATCATCTCGATGTTCCTCCGCTTCTTTGCAGCGCTGCTTTGTGCCCCAAGAAGGCGCTCATGGGCCCCAAAGCGGCCATCGCGGATCTCGTATCTTCGTCCCGCTGCCGCGAGCGGATCTCGGCGGTGTTGGCATCCACCTTTAAAGGACAAAAGGCCCCTGATCAGTGATAGTCTGATAGTCACAATGTATCAATCTCTGTACAAAGAAAGAGGATGATGGCCCGAAGAAACCAGAGATGGGGGGGGCACGTGAGAAACACCAAATGTTCAACAACAACAACAACAACAGCAACAAGAAGGTACAAACAAAACTGCAGCCCGTTACAGCATATCTTGTTCCTTTGTCTCTACAAGGGGGTGGAAGCAAAATCTGCAGCCCCGTCGTGTTTTTTCTACCCCCCGAAAACACCCGAAAACAACCAGTCAACATATACTTTTACCAGTGGTGGTAGTGCTTGTACTCGTGCTAGTACTAGTGGTACTAGAGCTAGTAGGTCGTAGGAGTAGTAGTAGCAGTAGCAGTAGCGGCAGCAGCAGCAGCAGTAGCAGTAGCAGCAGCAGCACCAGCAGCAGCAGCAGCAGTAGTAGTAGTAGTAATACTAGTAGTCGTGGTGGTAGTAGTAGTAGTAGCAGTAGTAGAAGTAGTAGTAGTAGTAGACGTAGTAGTAGTAGTAGTAGTAGTAGTAGTAGTGGTAGTAGTAGTAGTAGTAGTAGTGGTAGTAGTAGTAGTAGTATTAGCAGTAGTGGTAGTCCGGTCAGCATGGTCAGCTAAGCCTCTGTAAAACTTCTACTTAGAACCTCTACCACATCCTATAGACAAAAGCTGCAGCTCCCTTGTTGTTTTTTTGGACCCCCCCTCCCACAACGACAAGAAGTCCAGCTACTAACATCTCTCCAAACCTTCGACCCTATCCCTAACAGTGTCCCTTTGAAATCCCTGACTTGCAACATGTGACAACTATATTGAGCAGCTGTTTTTGTCTCTACCAACAACAACAACAGCAGCAACAACAACAACAAAACTTAACAAAACCAGTTCGAAAGTTTGACTTGAACCATGAGACCACTAAAGTAGTAAGCTATATAGACTCAAATAGACTCTCTATAGTTATACATATGACCCAACCCTCATACCGTAATGCCTCCATTGCAGAAATTGCAGGACCCTCATATGCCTTTCGTGTGGACACGCCCTTGGCGGCCTTGGCCCTTCGCTTCGCCCCAGGCCTTCAAACGGAGAGCCAGGTCGTCCGACCCATCCGACGAAGCGCTGTCCTCGACACGGAAGAAAAGAACGACGGGCATCCAGCGGTTTGATCATGTAAGAAGTACATGGCATGGGAGAGAAAACAAGTTGAAGACAGACCTCTAGACAAGGGTTCCTTGAAAGGACCCTTACCTTGTTATTTCATCTCTAACTTTTTGTTCCTCTGCCGCATTAGGACCTTAAGGTCAATACAGGTTGACCACTGAAAACGTGTTCGGATATGCATATGTTTCAAAGGGTACTTGCTTCAAGTGCCGTCTGATTTTTGGAAACGTACAACCCCCTATAGAACCTAAGCCTCCATACAAGCATCCTACCCTATGTCCAATACATTCCAAAACCTTCCACTCCCTGAACATGCTCAACGGAGTGAGGGAAACCAAGAAAGTAAAGTGATGTTATGCTATTCTCCTTTGTACAAGTACCATTCTCATCTTCGAAAGGACTGTGACCATGCATCCCACCTTATCCATGGCCTCTATTGTACAAGGCCATGCCATCTTTTTACCAGTCTTATCCTGGACTGGACCAGACTTTGTCGGAATACACCAATGACAGCAAGGTGTCCCTCACTAATCTAGGGAGGCCTCCAATCTCATAAATGCTTGCTCCTTTGTAAGGATTTGGAAGTTCTAGTTCTCCAAAGCTTTCATCTAACCAAACGCCTGTCCAAGAAGGGGCGAATCACTGCTTAAGAAAAGGGTGAACACTAAAAGACATATATATATATATGAGTTATTAATTTATGACTATATTGCAATGATA